CGGGGTGAGACCTTCACACCCCAGAGGCAGATTCCAGCCCATGCTGCGATTGCTCCAGCTCCTGCCTGCAGCCCTCAGGGCCAATGCTAGCTCCAGTGCACGCAGAGGTGAAGCTGACCCGACTGTCACACCACAGCAGCCAAACGAGAGACCAGCCAGGAAGGGAAGCAACCCGGCTCCCCTTTCACTTCAACAACAGCCTGGTTCTGCCCCATGGCAGCAGGGAGGAGAGTCGGACTCAACCGCCCACGGCTCTATCCCCAGGACCTCAGGAAAGGCTCCTAGGGGCCGGCCTGGGAAGTGATATTCAGCCTCTTCACCAAGTCCGACTTCCGCAGGCAGGGGCGTGGTAATAACTGGGCCTGATCGGAAGTTCAGCTGTGAGACGCCTCTGAGGGCCAGACGCTGGGAATGAATCACTCAGTGACTGACTGTTCTGTTCATTCCCCCTGGGGCACCTGGCACTGGCCACTGTCAGCAGACAGGACACGGGCTAGATGGACCCTTGGTCTGACCCAGGCTGGCCATTCTTATCAAAGTTCATAAAGTGTCACAATAACCTATAACAACAAATGCTGATGGGAAAAGGTACAACAGTGAGACAAAGACTGAATTAGTCCAAACACAAAGGCCAACTGATGTAACTCAAGGACTGTACTGAGATCATACCTGGTAAACAAGTGAACTGTGGGACTGGAAATCAATGGACCAAAATTGGGTTGAAAATTAGGTCTAATTGGTGACCACATATAGACTATTCCACCCATTTCTCCCTTTGGGGGGTCATTAAAAAGATCCTTTTGGGGGGAAAATGAAGAAAAAGAAAACTCAACAACTGCTAACTGAAAGCAGGGGAAGGAGTGAGTTTTACCATCATGGCTGCCGGCCGCACCGTCTCCTGGGACCCTCCAGAACACGGCTAACCCTTTGTCCTCTTAATCCCGAGAAAAGTCCTGAGCAGATCGGGCCAGAAAAAAGGGACCCAGGTGATACTGTCAAGTCCCCTGCTCTGGCTAAATGCCAACCACCACCTGGGATGTGTCCCCATCCTCCCAAGTGTCCTTTCCTTTCTCCACCTTATTTCATCTCTTTCCTATTCCTCTCCTATTTCCTTTTGTCTTAAAGCCTGGCTTAGCAAACCAAGGTTGCCCATTTGTGCCCAGAAAGGCTAATGAAAGCAATCCCCTAAGCAGCTTGATGCTGTTGCAATGTGCCAGTTCTGACAATGGCTAGTGAGACCATGGGCCATGCCTGTGGTTTTCCAGCAGGGAGGTTGCAAACAAATGCAAGTCAACACCAGAGACAGAAACTGCATCTTTAAAACTCTGCTGTTCTTTTCTCTTCCCTCTCTTGTGGCTCAGGGTGTGGCAGTGAGTGGCTGATTTAGCAGGTCATGCTCTTCCCTTGTCAGTACCAAGCAGCATGGGACTAGGTGGTGGGATCTGTCAGAGGAAATATACATTTAGCACCCTGTCCCTTCGGAGTAGGTAGAGATCCCCATGGTATTTTACTTGTATGGGAAACATTAGGGACACTGGCCAGGACCCCAGTCATTAATTTTAGCCCAGATCATCATATTCTGTCCCAGTTTCAAATGGAAACAGAAGGGGCAGAAAGCTACTAGGGGAGAGGCTGTTCTAGATTTAACTTGGCAAATAGGGAGGAATTGGGTGAGAATTTGAAAGTGGAGGGAAGCTTGGGTGAAAGTGATCATGAAATGAGAGTGTTCATGATTCTAAGGCTTCTAAGGAATAAGAGGGGAAACAGCACAATAAAGCTAATGGATTTCAAGAAGGCAGACTTTAGCAAACTCAGGGAGTTGGTAGGTAAGATCCCATGAGAAGCAAGTCTAAGGGGAAAAACAGTTTAAGAGAGTTGGAAGGTTTTCCAAAAGACATTTTTAAGGGCACAAGAGCAAACTATCCCACTGAGTAAGAAAGATAGGAACGATGGCAAGAGACCACCCTGGCTTAACCAGGAGATCTTCAATGATCTGAAACTCAAAAAGAGAGTCCTCAAAAAGTAGAAAATAGGTCAAATTACAAAGGATGAATATAAACAAACAACACAAGTATATAGGGAAAAACTGGAGAAATGGTTTGAAGTAAATAGGATGAAATTCAAGAAGGACAAATGCAAAGTCCTCCACTTAGGAAGGAGCAATCAGTTGCACATGTACAAAATGGGCAATGACTGCCTAGGAAGGAGTACTGAGGAAAGGGATCTGGGGTCATAGTGGATCACAAGGTAAATATGAGTCAATAGTGTAACACCGTTGAAAAAAAAGCGAACATCATTCTGGGATGTATTAGCAGGAGCGTTGTAAGCAAGACACGAGTAGTAATTCTTCTGCGCTAATTAGGCCTCAACTGGAGTATTGTGTCCAGTTCTGGGCACCACATTTCAGGAAAGATGTGGACAAATTGGAGAAAGTCCAGAGAAGAGCAACAAAAATGATTAAAGGTCTAGAAAACATGAGCTATGAGGGAAGATTGAAAAAAATGGTTTGTTTAATCTGGAGAAGAGAAGACTGAGAGGGGACATGATAGCAGTTTTCAAGCACATAAAATGTTATTACAAGGAGGAGGGAGAAAAATAGTTCTCCTTAACCTCTGAGGATAGGCCAAGAAGCAATGGGCTTAAATTGCAGCAAAGGCAGTTTAGGTTGGACATTAGGAAAAACTTCCTGTCAGTGGTTAAGCACTGGAACAAATTGCCTAGGGAGCTTGTGGAATCTCCATCATTGTCTAACCTGCTCTTAAAAATCTCCAGTCACCTGTCAGGGATGGTCTAGATCAGGGGTGGGCAACTTTTTGGCCTGAGGGCCACATCTGGGAATAGAAATTGTATGGCGGGCCATGGATGCTCACAAAATTGGGGTTGGAGCACATAGGAGCCGCAGCGGGGCCATGCATCTGCTTCCAGGAGCCACGTGGTGCGGCCTCCGACCCAGCACCGCGGCTGGAGCGGGGCAAGCCCCAGACCCAGCACCCCGGCTGGAGCTTGCAGGCCAGTTTAAAACACCCCATGGCCCGTAGTTTGCCTACCCCTGGTCTAGATAATACTTAGTCCTGCCATGAGTGCAGGGGACAGGACTAGATGACCTCTCGAGGTCCCTTCCAGTCCTACGATTCTCCCTTCGTTCGCTCTCCTAAGCCAGTATGGAGTGTGGCTGTCGTTCCACCCCAGAGACAGCTGGGGATTAGATTCCCACGTGCTTTGGAGTGAGCAATCCAGCTCCATCGTGTGCATCTCTGTAGAGAGACGATCCAGTAGATACTCTGGGAAGGCGGCCCTATAGAAGTGTTATAAATGTCCGGTATTCTGATGGAGCATCATCCATTTATTTGGGACTACAGGGGTGGGGGTGCGGAATAATGGAGTCATTTGGTACATACGCTAACAGGGGTAATAGTTAGCTTAGCATTGAGAAGTTGGGTGCCAGCACCCCAAGGTGCTTCTGGAAGGATACTGTGTGGGAAGATCATGGACTCTCTCATAAACCTCAAGGACAAGAGGGCTGCAGATCCACAATACCATCCATGTGAGGCAAAGGGACTATGGCCAGGACCTGAAAATGTTACCAGGTGCCTACTAGCCAGGAGCCTGAGGGCTAGGCTACACTAGAAGCGATAGCTGCGCCGCTGTAGCACGTCTGGTGAAGACGCTCTATGCCGACGTGAGAGCAGCTCTCCCTCTGACATAGCGGTGTCCATACCGAGGCTTAGGAGGGTGCAACTTACCTCCCTCAGGGGTGTGTGTGTCTTATTCACACTCCTGAGTGACATAAGTGGTAGTGTGTACAAGCCCTAAACCCACAAGCCAGGGAGATACAAATTCCACGGGAATGGGGGCTCCACCAGCAAAACCCAAGAGCAGCCCGTCTTGGAGAAGGGCCCAGCCCCTGCCAAAACAGCATGGAAAGGCCAAGGATGCTGTCTGGGAACTCTATGCAGGGCTCTGCTTTTCGTACCAGCCTCTACCACCCTCATCTAGATGCCATTAGGAGGAAGGAGCTTTCTGACTGTCTCCCTACTCCTGAGCCTTCTGACTGCTGCAAGAGTGGACTGCCTCCCCCACTCTGCCCGTCAGCCTGTTTTATGGGTCCTTCCCAGGACTAAGATCAGTGCCTGCCTCGGTCTTGTCAAAAGTTTCTGGGAAGCATTGTGAAATTGACATGACTGTTGTAGGTGTCACTGCTGCCCACAAGGATCTGAAGAGCAGCCTGAAACTGACCAGTCTTGTCACTTTCGTTAACCTGCTGCTGCTTTGGAAAAGCCCTAGCATGGGCAGAGCAGTGGTGCACTCAGACAAACACCACCGCACTGGTCACATTTCGGTGCTTCTCTTTGTAACTGTATGGCTAGAAACAGGATTAGACCTATGTTGTTAAAAATGTTGCAGAAATTGATAGCTGAGACCCACACACCCCCTAGGGAAAACTTCCCACTCTCACACAGATGCAAGCACTGCACACTGGGCCGTCCAGTTATCCGGGTAGATACCCAGGAGAGCTCTAGGGGGATCTGATGGTACCCATCCATGCTGCTGGCTTTAGTCAAGGACATGCGCACGTACATCAAGCAGGAGTCTGTTCTTCTGGTGAAATGTTTACTGTCTATGGTGTTCCTAAGGCACCTGGACTGTGGTACCAAAGCACTGCAGTAAGCGTACGAGTAGGGCATAAGCCTGTCTTTCAGATCATCTGTTGGGAGCTGTTTTTACTGAACCCATTGTAAGGATTAGGAATAGTGAATGAGCCTGTTCTTTAAAGTCACCCTAAGGTCATGACCTTAGGACTGTTACTGGATAGTTATGAGGAGTCATTAACTGAGAAGGGACTGGCCAGTCCACAATAGCATGCTACTCTGTTACGCCTATGACAGAGGGACCAGCAAGATACCACTTTGCTCTGAGTAATCTATGCAAAGAGGTTTGGTGATAGTGCAAACACATGTAACCATCCCCCACAGATAACCACCCCCATCCCGCACACTTGCAGTGGTAGAAGTCAGGTGGAGGGAACTGGCTGGGCAATCATCACGAGAACAGATGTCTTTATCTGCCATAGAGATACCAACTGCCCAAGACATCAGGTTAGTCAAGAAGCAACAAATTTCTCTGGGCCATGAGGCAGCTGCTGGTGCCCTGCAAGAAGAGGGTTAAATGCTGGAATGTTGTAATCTCCTTACCCACCGATGTAAAAGTGATTTAAGGTTTGTGCCCACTGAGCACCCAGCACACCATAGGCATCAAATCACCCCACCCATCCCTGCAGGGGGAACAGTCTCTGTTCACAGATGACAGTCAAAAGTCCTGCAAGTGCAGAACCAGCAGCTCATTCCCAGTCATTCTAAGCCCACAGGATAAGGAAAAGGGGGTGGGGGAAGCTTGACCAGGAGGAGGGTGGGGGTTGGGAAATGGATAGGACCGAAGTCAGGAGACCATGGCTTGTTTCAGCTGAACTGACTCACAGAGATCCGCTTATAGTTCAAAATGCTACATAAATCTAAAGCCAGGCCAGGAGGGAGGGCTTCCCAGCACCCCCATGTACAACAGCAGGATTAGCAGTGCCCGAGGATGTTAATTACTTATAAGAAAAATCTGCTGCTTTTCTAAACTCAAAAATACACTGGGTTTGTCCAATACACTCCTGACCCTCTGCCTGCCTTGGCTGGTAGCCCTGTTTGCTCAGCAGAAGCTTCAGTAAATTCTGCTATTTTGACCCAGACTCTGACAAACATTAACTATTGCAGCTTGCACGAGATATCCCCTTCTAGCTGTTTGTTATTTCATATCACTGCCTGTGCCTTCAGCTCTGGGAACTGACAACGCCTAGACAGTGCTTGTACAGGACACAGCAGTCCTTGTCTATGTGCCCTGCACACAGGCTAGGGATGTGTGAGATGTCACAGGCCACACACAGCACCGGCTGTGGTTCTCAGACCGAGCAGCGTGCCGTGCCCGAGGAGGCAGCCTGCTGGAGTGTCCATTTGAAAACCGCAATTTGCGTGTTTTAAATGGGGAAATGCCAACAGTTAAATCACCAGGACCAGCTTGTGGCAGCAGATCACATGGGGGGGCCAGGGGGAGACTCTGGGCTTGGTTTCATGCGCCTCGTGATACAGGCACCGGCAGGTCTGATAGTCTCCTGCCCAAGAAACCATCTGCCCAGCTGCTGAGGTGGTGAGTAGCTAGAAGGGGAACATCCAGAAAGAACAAGCTTCTGCCTCACACGGCGACTTTCTGCTGCTCAGCCTGTGTCCACACTGAGGCAGTGCTCCAGGCAGGGGGCAGGACACCCCCACCCCCACCCACTCTGCGTCCCCTGCCCTCCCGGGCGCGGCGCGGGCTCTGGAGCCATCTTCCCCAGGAGGGGGGTTACAGCAGCCCAGGGCCTGCACCGCTCCCTCCTCTGCTGCTGGGCGAAGGCCCCAGCCGGCCACAGGGCTCCGAGCTGCCAGAGGAACCTCGGGGCTCTCCTGGGCCCAGCAGAGCCTGGCAGGGCAGGAGCAGCAGCTGAAGCAGGAAGGCGCCACCCCCCAGCGGGTCCCCTGGCTCGGTCACCCCGGGCTGCAGGCGGGGACCGGGACAGTCGGAGGGGCGAGCTCCAAGCCGAGCCCCGCGAGCCGGACTAGTCCGGGGCGGGCTCGGCGCGCTGCCCCCCCGGCCCCGGCCAAGCCCCGCCCCGGCCCCCGCCGGCAGGGGCCCGCCGGAGCAACGGGCCAGGGGCCGCGCGGGGCCCGGGCCATCCCCGGCTCACCTGGGCCTCGCTGCCGCCGCGCGCTGTCCCGGCTCCGCTCCGCACCGCGTGGGGGGCCCCGCCCCCCGGAACCAGCTGGGCCCGGCCCGGCCCCGCCCCCCGCCAGCTGGGCGCAGCGCCCCCGGGCGGCAGCCAGCGGGATTGTAGCGCCCTGCGCCCGTCTCCTGCCTGGGACCCCACAGCCCGACCCCCATCTCAGCTCCTGCCCGGGACCCTGCACCCCGGGACTCTGCACCCCCCAGGCCACCCTGGCTCCTGTCCCAGACCCTCCTCCCCTCAGCCCCCCCACAAGGCCATTCCTCCACCCCCAAAAATGTTTAAAGAACAGGCCAGGATCTGGGTTTGCAGATGCAGAGTTTCCTGCATCTTCCCCTTTCCCCTCACCCCAGCCATAGGCTCCCTTGCTTTGCCCGGGTGCTGAGCTATCCCCTGCAGTGCAAACCAGCCAGGAGCAGGGTGACTCGAGCTAGGGGAGCCTCCCAAGGGATCCCACAGCTATAGCAGCCCTGGATAGATGGCTCAGCCTGTGGGGAAGCTCTGCCCAGGCCCCGGCTACAGGGGGCGATCAGACAAGTGAAGGTGACTGAACCAAAGGGATGATGTTAGAGTCTCTAGCCCTGCAGGGATGTTCTCATTCAGGAGGAAAGTGATCTTAGTTCACTTTAGCTCAGAAGTTCTCAAACTGTGGTGGTCTGCGAGCTCCATTCAGGGGGTCCACGGATAGTTCCCTCTAAGGTGCACGCCTGGGCGGCCGCACACAAGACAATGAAGGGCGCAGGCGTGGCTCCACTAATAGGTGCCTGGACCCTGGAGAAGGCGCACATGTAAGGTGAGGTGGTGGCCTTGGGGGGAATAAGGGGTAGGTGGGACAGGGAGGGGGCAGTGGGGTGAGAAGGGGGGGGGGATTTGGGATGTGCAGGGTTGCGGCGGCCAGAGAAAGAGGCAACTTTCCCCAGCTCCAGGGCTGCAGCTGCCAGAGAGAGACACCCCCCCTCCTTCCCAGCCCCAGCTTAGGGGCTGCCGTGGCAGGGGAGAGAGGGCACATCCATCGCATTAGAAAGGTAAGACTACTGATATTAAAATATGAGTTGTGTGCTTTTATTTGTAGAACAAAAAAATTAATTATTACTTTTTTTTTAATATAGTGCTTTTATCCCAAATGCTTTACAATAGTTAGGTATCGGTACAAACAACATTTGGAAAGATCATTAAGTGGTCTGCCAAGACTCAGCAATTTTCAAGTGGTCCACGAAAAAAAAAGTTTGAGAACGACTGCTTTATCTAAAACCCTCCTCCAGCTGCTCTTCCCCAGGCCGTAGGGAGATGCAGAGCCAGGCCGTGCTGCAGCTGGGTGGGGCACAGAGGGGAAGGCCTAGAGCAGCAGGAGGGAAGGACAATTAAATAAACATTAACTTTTTATTTTAATTATAATTGCAATCTGATTTTTCAAATAAACAATTTATTGTAATTCTTGATACAAAACGGATACATTTCTGTCATTGATCAAAATTATACAAAGAAAAGAGAATGATTTAAAAGTCTTTTTAAAAAGCTTTGAGTGAGAGAGAACTGATTTTTTCTTAAAAAATAAATATTGAAGGCTGGTAAATGTCACTCCAACAAGCAGGGAGTTCTAGAGAGCACTGCTGGGGAGAGGGTTTTTTCAGCAGGTAGCAAGGGGAGGGATAGCTCAGTTCTATGAGATAGGTATATCTCCAAGGTGCTTCGTGGTGTGAAGAGATTCTTACAGGTAAAGATCTTGGCAGGTCACTTAAGTCTTTTTTGAAAAATAATTGGAAAACTTGATCCATACCAAGAGTGCACTGAGTTATTTGGATGTTCATTGTTCCTGTTCCATCTCCATTGTACTGAAGGGGAATACGGGGCAAGTTGGGAAAGGAGGGGGGGAAGAGAGTCCACTCAAGACAATAATAGGTAGACCCCTACCAAATTCACAGTCTATTTTGATCAATTTCATGGCCAGAGGGTTTTTTAATTGGTCAATTTCACCTTTTCAGATGTTTACATATGTAATTTCATGGTGTTGTAACCCTTGGGGTCCCAACCCAAAAGGTACCCTGAGGAGGGTCTGATCTTCCCCCTCGCCAGAACAGCCGCACAGGGGGAAGGACAAGTCCTGTCCCTCCCAAGCCCAGTGGGGGACTCACAGCCAAGAGCCCCCAACTGTGGCGCTTCCATCAGCAGGAGGAGATCGACCCCACCTCCACAAACCTTCTTCAGCTGCAGGAACCTCTAGGGCTGCTGCCCAGCTCCAGAGCTTCAGGAGGAGGCAGTCGGAGGTGGGTCTGATCTCCCCCTGAAAGAGGCTGTGCAGGGGAAGGACAAGTCCTGTTCCTCCCCAGCCCGGCTGGGGCTGGGGACTCACAGCTAGGAGCCCCTGGCTGGAGAGCTCCCAGCAGCAAGGGTGAGATCAGATTTCACGGGGAAGGGCTTATTTCACAGTCCGTGACATGTTTTCCATGGCAATGAAATTGGTAGGCCCCTACTAATAGGCGATGGCTGGCAGTTCCCCATCTCAGGGGTGCGTGCGTGGAGTCTCCATCTGAGCAGCCTGCAAGAGACACCAATTTTGTGTGTATTGGCTTTTCACCCTGAAAGTGTCACCCATACATTGACACCGGAGTAGAGGGGAAGAAAGTGAAAAGACCAACTGAAAAACACAATCTGATTTTTGTTAACAATCTCATGATTTTGGTTCTCTTAAGGTTGGCGGTTCTGGAGACGCTACCCAGCTTCCCCACAGCATGTGTGAGCACAGTGAGCTCACATGCAAACTGAATGGGCTGGGGGCTGAGTCTGCTGCCTTACCTACCAAAGAAGCCATGGGAGATCCTGAATCACTGCCATGGAGTCCCCGGGCGATGCTCTGGAACTGCTCCCCACAAAGCCAGTCAGGACTTTGGGGAGCCTCCTCTCCCATGGAGCAGACTGTCTTCAGGGCAAGAAGCTCACATGGCTTCACCTCCTGGGTCTGCCCTTGGAGCATTCAGCATATCCCCCTCCGTGCGCTTCCCACAGCGAGTCCGCCTAGGCGGGGTCCTGGGGAAGCCAGAGGGTCCTGCACGCACCCCTACTTCGCAGTCAGACGTGACTCTCAGCCAGCCAGTAAAACAGAGGTTTATTAGATGACAGGAACACGGTCTAAAACAGAGCCTGTAGGTCCAGCGAACGGGACCCCTCCACCGGGTCCATTCTGGGGCCCAGCAAGCCCGACACTCCCGTCTGCCCTCACTCCTAGTCCCCAGCCAACTCCAAAACTGAAAACCTCCTCCAGCCCCTCCTTCTCTCCTGAGTTCCTTTCCCAGGCCAGGAGGTCACCTGACCTCTTTGTCCTCCCACACCTTTAGCATCCCCTTGTAGGGGGGAAGGGCCTGGCCATTAGTGGCTAGGCGACAGAGGGTCGGTCAGAAACTGAGGCACCCACACAGTATTCAGAGGAAACATTAAGAACAGTCCCACTTCGTCAGAATCACCAAAAATAGAGGGGGGCAGGGGAGAGTTCAAAGACTTGCCACTGAGAGGGAAGATGGTTTCCTCAGATTCACACAACCAAGGGCATCCACCCTGACGCTTTTAAATTAATTTGTTTGTGTCTGTCTTTTTCTCTTGCTTTTGTGTTTTTACTGCTATTGTCACTTACTGGAAATTCACCAGTCACCATCCCACCACTGTGTCATGGTTGAGGGCTAGCTGCACCTCTGCCTCTTCTGCGGGCTCTCTCTGAGTGCACCCCTCCGGGTCTTAGGCCTCAAGGCTTCACCCCTCTGGGACAGAATCTTGTGATTTTCCCCATGCAGACTGGGTCTTGGGCACCGCCTCTATGCACCAACCATGATCACGCAGCAGGCCCAACCAGATATCCTGATTTTATAGGGACAGTCCTGATTTTTGGGTCTTTTTCTTATATAGGCTCCTATTACTCCCCACCCCCGTCCCGATTTTTCACATTTGCTGTCTGGTCACCCTAGTCTCATCTGAAGGCTTAGGCAGGCCTATGTTAACCCCAAGAACCCCACTTTCAGTCTGGGTTCATCTCAGTTCCAAACTCTGTCTCCCCTGTTTAGGGAGTGTGACCCTTTATTGGACAGGCCGAGTCTTGTGTCTGCCTTAAGCCAGTTTATGGAGCCCATGAGGGGGACAGAGTTAGACTCCCAGTGAATAGTCCTGGGTGGTTGCTGTGGAGATTGTACCTGGGCTACTGTCTATCTTCATGCATACATTTCCCAGCCAACCAGCTATTGAATTAACCCAGTATGAATAAAGTAAACACCTTTTCAATATTCAGACAAACAAACACAGCACATAGTATTCATAGATTACAGGAAGCTGGGCCGGCTCTAGGCACCAGTGTTCCAAGCATGTGCTTGGGGCGGCACTTTGGCCCTTTGGGTAGGGTTACCATACGTCCGGATTTTCCCGGACATGTCCGGCTTTTTGGGCCTCAAATCCCCGTCCGGGAGGAAATCCCAAAAAGCCGGACATGTCCGGGAAAATAGGGAGGGAGGGCCCGGCGGTGCTCGGCTGGGGCCGGGACGGGGACGGGGCCGGCGGTGCTCGGCCGGGGCTGGGGCTGGGGCCGGGGACGGCAGTGCTCGGCCGGGGCCAGGGCTGGCGGTGCTGGGCCGGGGGTGCTCGGCCAGGGGCCGGCGCCCCAGGGCTCGAGCCAAGCCGGGCGGGAGACGCCGGGGCCAGAGCCTCTTGGCCTGGGCCGGCCGGCTGCCGGAGGGAGCCACTTGGCTGGGGGGCCGGACTGGGCCGCGCCGCGCCCCACCCCACCCCAGCCCCAGCTTACCTGCTGCCTCCCTGTTTCAGGCTTCCCGCGAACATTTGATTCGCGGGAAGCAGGGGAGGGGGAGAAGCAGGGGGCGGAACGTTCAGGGGAGGGGGCAGAGTTGGGGCGGGGACTTTGGGGAAGGGGCGGAGTTGGGGCGGGGAAGGGGCGGAGTTGAGGTGGGGCCAGGGCCCCGTGGAGTGTCCTCCTTTTTTAAAACTAAAATATGGTAA